TACATTGGAATGTCATAATAAAAAATCGACCGGCTAAGCCGATTTTTCGGCTAAGCCGAATTAAAATCCCTAAATCTGATTAGCTTTAGCGTTAGTATTAAATCGGCTGATTCTTATTTTTTAAAGATGCAGAATTGATAATCGTTATCATAATAATTTTATGATAATATCACATGACGATTGTTTTTAAACCGAAAAAAAAAATTTTTTTAGATCAAAAAAATAAACTATACTCATGAATAAAACAGAAAAAAGAGCACGTTCTCTAATTTTTCTTGAGAAAAAAGGAACGATGGAAAGAGAAACCGATACTGTCATTGCAACTTTAGTTCTGAAGGACGGCTCAACTTATCAAGGATTTTCTTTTGGATCAGAAAGCAAATCAGTGGCAGGAGAATGTGTATTCCAAACTGGTAACGTAATCTTTTATTGTAACCACTTTTTTAACATTTCTAATTCTGTATTTCTAATTTTTTTTTTAATAATAAAGGTATGGTTGGTTATCCCGAGTCTCTCACCGATCCGTCATATCAGGGTCAAATCCTTGTCTTAACATTTCCACTTGTGGGCAATTACGGTGTCCCTTCGCGCGATGACATGGAGCCTCTTCTCAAAGATATTCCAAAGTATTTTGAATCTCGGGAGATACATATAACGGGCTTGATAATTGGACAATATTCTCCAGATTATTCTCATTATCTAGCGCACTCTTCGTTAGCAGATTGGTTAAAAGAACAAGATATCCCAGCTATTTACGGAGTTGATACTCGTGCTCTCACAAAAAAGATTCGCACTCAAGGTGTACTTTTGGGCAAGATTTTATTTCCAAAAAGCGTTGTCGGCAACGCTACTTTGGGTGTCTCGACGGCGAATGGTCTGTCCACTGATGGAATAATCCATCCGGAACCATGGATTGCCAACTATCAAGATGTTCCATGGGTCGATCCGAATGAAAGAAACCTTGTGGCGGAAGGTTGTTATCTTTTTAATTACAATTTTAGTATTAAAACTTTTAATTAATTCTTTTTTTTTTTCATTTCTAAACTAGTTTCTGTAAAAGAACCAAAATTATATGCACCTGATCCATCAAAAGCCATCAAGGATGCGAAAGGTATAACACTGCGCATTGTTGGTGTTGATGTTGGTATGGTGAGTATATGCGCTTATTCACCTGATAAGAATAGATTTAATTTGTTGTTTTTTTAACAAATGCTTAAATTGCGTTGATTAATTAGCATTTCTTTAAATCCAATTTTCAAACCAACCTCATTTAATATGTCCAAACTCTTAAGAAATACAATCAAATTCGTTGTCTC